AAAAAAAAAAAAGTTTTTCCTCCTAGAACATAAAGCAGGTATGTCAATTTTTAATTTTTAAATTTTTAAGTGTATTTATTTTCTCTAGGGTCTGTTACTAAGTTTCATAATTATGCTCAGCATACATATAAAAATAAATAAATGCTATTATATTTGTATGGTTTATAGTTATTACAGCAATTTCACGTACATTGGCTTATTTAATCCTCATAGTCGGCTTGTCAGATATTTACTTAATGAAGTGGCTGAGAGAGCAGTTAAGTGGTAATCTCCTCTCCCCAACCCCCCACCCCCCACACATGCGCACACGGCACACCTACAGAACTAATGAATGTTTGCCTCCTGGTACCCTTTTTCTCCTGAGCTCTAGCTATATATTTTAAATCTTAACAGCAGACTCTTCTGATTAACAGACTCATTTTAACTGACTTTGGGATTGTTCTAATCCAAATGGCTATTAAATTTTATCACTAGAGAAAGTATTCCCAATGTAATATTCAATAAAAATGCGACCCTGGCTTTTTTATCTCAGGAACGAAGCGTGAACTTATATGAAACATTTCTGTTAGCGTTTTGATGGAAGTTTCCCCTTTTTCTTCAGAAGTGATAGAATTATTGCTCTCCCAATAGTAAGGAATAAAATATTTACAATGACTGTGCTCAAATTACAGCATACAAACCGCCCCCATCCCCGGTCCTTTATTTCTGAAAGGCGCGTACTTAGTTTAAAAGCTCCGTTTTCTCCATTGCATCTGAAACCTTTTCCCCAAATGGTGAGACCCTCGGAGCAGGCGGGGTGGGCGGGTTGCGCCCGCTCACCGCGCCTGCGCCCCGTTCCCAGGGCAAGGAGACGCCCTTCACGAAGTTCGACCCGTCCTGCCTGTTCCCCGCCTGCCGGGACTACTGGACCTACCACGGCTCCTTCACCACGCCGCCCTGCGAGGAGTGCATCGTGTGGCTCCTGCTGAAGGAACCCATCACCGTGAGCTCCGACCAGGTGAGCGGCAGTCCCGGGTGGAGCCTTGTGAATACACGGACTTAAATCGCTGGCTGGCTATATAAGATGAAGAAGCTAAATTGAAAACTGCTAGCTGCTAAATGGGTGTTTACCGAGTTCAGACGGTGCAAAAAACCGATGCGGATCACTAGAGAGTCCATAGTTTGCCCTGGTTAATTACAATCAGTAGGTTTAACTTTCTAAAGCTTATTTTCCAAAGGGTACCGGGATAAACGCAAATCCTGTAAAAGTGGCTGTGATGCTGTACAATGACTTGAGTTTGTGTTGTAGAAAGGCTTAAAGGTTTAGGTGAATGAGTTAGTCTTTGGAGGACCCGCAAATACTGAGCTCTGATTAGGAAGTGGTAATGGTACCTGCAGGCCTGGGGAGAAGGATGCTAATGGAAGGGATTTAATATCCCTGTGAGATGTATACTATTTCTCCGGTTTTATAGACAAGTTGAGGCTCAGAAAGGTGAAGTAATTTGCCAATGATCCATAGCCAGGTGCAGGACCTGAGATTCTAACTCTGGTCTGTCTGCTCCCAATACCCCTTGATTTCTTTGCCTGCCTTCTTAGAGGTTACCTCAAGAATGTCCTTGCAGCATTTATTAAAGACTTGCAAGGAAAGACTGTTTGGGAGAAAATATGTGGGCAGGGATGTGGAGATGAGCAGATTAAAGCAAGTGAACAACAGCGCCTCACACTACAGGTCATAAATATTTACTGAAATCATAAATCAGTTTGCCAGTGCGTCTCTCTTATTTAAGACAGCATTCCTATTTCTGCCAGTTGTAGACAAGTATATATGACCATTTCTATCAAAAGAGATGTAATGTTCAGGTTTATTTGTATTAATATTTTGAAAGGGGAATGAAATTTTCTTAAGATGAAAGGCTAAAAACATTTTAGTATATAAATACAGTATTACTAATAAGGATTTCTTAAATTCTTCTCCCTTAAGAAAAAAAGTTCTTAAATTCAAAATGTAGAGTGACTCCAACTTATTTCTGCTCTTTTAGAAAATGTTGATGCCATAAACTTTTGCAATGAGGGCCAGTTAAGCTTATCATTTGCATTGACCTTGTCATCCCTCCCTACATAAGGTATAGACTTCATACTGACCCCTCAAATTAAAATGATTGTTTCAGAATTCAGAAGGAAAAGGTTTTGACCAGAGGACATGACAATGCTGTATAAAATGAAGTGTTTTTACAAATAAAGAAAATGTTTCTATTACTCTAGACTAAACGTTGGAGACAAATCTGATGGTTTGGTTGCCGTGATTAAAAAGCCAGTGATTTCTAACTCTTTGTCACCATGTGTGACACTTGGTCCAATGTCATGCTGACAACATTCCCTTTTCCTCTTACAGATGGCCAAGCTGCGGAGCCTCCTCTCCAGCGCTGAGAATGAGCCCCCAGTGCCCCTGGTGGGGAACTGGCGTCCTCCGCAGCCTATCAAGGGTAGGGTGGTGAGAGCTTCCTTCAAATGAGGCTGCAGGAGCTTGCCCTCCTCAGGAAAGGAGACCTGCCACCGTTGGAGAGCTTGGTTCCCTGACTCCTTTTGGCGCTTCTTACTCCAAGTATATTTCAGTTTTCCACACTGAGCAATGAATGTGAAAGATGCTCTCACCAGGAAACCAAAGTTACTTATGACAAGATGTAACGTGAAAGCATCTGGCCTTTGTAATAATTACCTTTCCTATAAAAGTAGCATTTCTAGTAAGGTTTCAGAGGAGAAGAAACAGAAAGAGAAGGGTAATGATGTAGAAAAATGGCTAATGGGCACCAATTTTCTGTCACCTTAAATTTCATAGAACTTCAGTATTACTGTTTTCATATAATGAATTGTCCATCTTAAAGAAGTAATGGGTAATTCTATTAATAATAGAGGTAAATGAAGATCATATGGCAAGTAAAGATAAGCCAGAAATTAAAATTACTCTAGACACCAAGAATTGATATGGTATATTTTAACCCTTCTATAAAACCAGCAAGAGTTCCATCATTCATTAAGATTTTAACTTCCGTAATGATAACCTGGTTTTGATTACAATGAAAAGGAAAATACATTGGATCAGTTTAAAAAATTTGACCTGTATTTGAATTTCTTCTTCAAAAAGATGATTGACTTTATCCTAATACTTTTCCTTACCTGAAGGAGGGCCATTTATTTTTAATTTTACCACTTTTATCTGTGCATGCTTATTAAAATAAAAACTGCCTCTGACACCTTTCTAACTTGAGAATGGAATTAATGATTCTTAGAACATGCAGGAGTGAATGACTGCACTACAGATAAAAGCAGTTGTACTGATCAAGACTAATAAAGACATGAATACATGAAGTTGTGTTGTGTTTCTTTAATGAAAAAAGGGTTATTAAAAATGACAAAAATGGAGTAAAACTAAAAATGGCAAACTCTGTAAGTTTGTTTTCATAACTGAAAGATGGTGATAACAGACCCAAGTTCTGAGTTTGATTGGAGGTTACATTCTTTATGAAGTGGCTCAGGCAATCAGTGAGGCCTCAGTCGGATTAGGATTCTGGGGTCCATGGATTTAGGGGCATGGAATCAAGCCAGACTGTAGCTTTTATGTCCTTAGTTTTCTCAATATCCATCAGGATGATGCTGGTGTATTACTGCAAAAGTCCATAGGTTGACACGTTTAAAACATTTGATATCCTTAGATGTCTTAATTTGCAGTTAATGGCTTCAACAGCTCTTTCATCACATCACTGGTTAATAAGTTAACTTACTTTAGAAAATACCAGCAAAATTTTCATTACCCTAAGGAATGAAAAGGGTATTGGGTCAGGAGAGTCTTGTGATGCTGGAAGTCAAGTAATTTGATGGAGTCCTAGGAGGCTAAAATTATTTAATAGATTACCACTTGGGTGAAGTAAAACCAGGTTGGTCAGTGCAAATGGATGTGTTAATTAAATCCCTTGGAATTAGGAGGTGTGGAGCATTCATCAATTAGTGGTAATACACAAGCTGATTCTCTCAGGGTACTTGCTTCATAATGCTCAGAGCACTGTAAAACTCTATCCAGAAGACACTCTATGCGGGGGAGGAATGTGTAACTTAATACTGGTGCTTTCTCAAGTGCACAAGCTCAACATGGCTCAAACTGTTTTAAGAGAAAATGTCCGTTCAAGGTTGGTTATCTACCTAGACCATGAGTTCCACGAAGGCATGGATATGAGTCTTGTACACTGATAGTCCCCTTATTGACTAGTATTGTGCCTGGCCCTTAAATAAGCACTCAACAAATATTTGGTAAACAAATAATGTCACAAGCATAGATAAGCCCAGGACAAATACTCGCCTTCTTGAACAATACATAACATGATTAAGACTTGTACTAGTTTTTGATCATCTTGTTTAGTTTGGATCTCTTTACCCTCAAGTTGGTAGCTTTCCAATAGAACATATTCCATCCCCCGCCTCCACCAGGTCATCACCAGTACTCACAATTATCACCCAACTTAAAATGTGTTTGACACTTCTGCCTTCACTCAAAGTGCTGAGTTATGATATGACATATTGAAGGCACAACGTATGTCCTTATTCAGTAGAGGGATCATTTTCATGATCATGCACAGGTTTCCCAACAGTTGCATTTCAGCATGTACAACGTGTAGAGGGGACATCGCTAAGAGCTGCTGCGGTGAAAATGCTTCGGCATCTACTGCGTTTTGTTCTTTAGGGTAAAATCATTGCAGGTATTTAAAAATTTCAACCTAGGGCAGAAACAAATGTGAACTAAGGGTGTCATAATATTTCTCAGATTATTATATTTTTAAAAGTCTTTGAATGGGGCATCATTAACAAGAATTTACTGAATATAGGGTACTGTTAGGTCTTAAAAGTGCTCATGCTTTAGAGTCCCTTCCCCTTTAAGAGAAAGACAGAATGTATTCATGAAAGGGTACGTAACTCTTCAAGACCGCTGATCCACAATTCTTTATGTGCAATCAGTGAATATCTCTGTAGATGAATGGGAAATATTCTACACAGAACATGTAAAATGTGGATTTCAGTACCTAACTATAATCATTTATATAATTAAATAAATATGGATGATAATGATCAGCTATAAAGCTCGGATACTTGTGAAAAAGTATTGTTTCAGTTATCAGATAAGAATTGGCACAAATAAAATTACTCTAAAAAAGATACATATGGTCCAAACCACATCACAGATCACACATAAAATGAGATTTTTGTTTCTTTTCTAATGCCTTCTTATTTGATATTAAAAGGAACTCTGGACATGAGCACAATACATTATTTCAGCAGAGAAAGAGTAAGTGAGAAGAGGTAGAAAAAAATGGTAACTCTAAATGTCATATTTAAAAATGTTTCATTTAATGTATGAAAATATAATGATCTTTAAAAAAACCATCCCCTAAGGTAGCACTTGAAAACATAAAATGCAAATAAGGCTAAATCATGTTACACGTTATTTAGGTCACTAGATGGCAGCAAAATTATTACAAAATGACTGAAATGACAAGCTATGCTGTTTTATTCCTGTTGCAGACCAATGAGGTTTCCTTTTTTAATCCTGAACATCCTACTTCCTTTTCTCAAATGTTTAATATTAACTATTAATATCTATGTACAAAAGAAAGATGGTGAAGGATTCTTACTTTTTTTTTGAGACTTTTTAATAGTCAAAGTGAGGCCTAACATCAGAAATTAATATGTATTGCGCTAAAGCTTAAATAAATGAGAAAACATTTTTACAGCCCTGTTCAGTCTTTTGGAGGCCTGGGTGCCAATCACGCACCACTTGTAGGCATGTGGCCTCAGGCAAGTTAATTTCTTGGTGCCTAAATTTCCTCATCTGGGAATAGGAATGATAATAGTACCTGCCCAGGTGGTTGTTTTAAGGATTAGATGAGTTACTATATACAAATCTCTTAGAATAATTATTCTAACATGTGGTAAAACTCTCTATAAGGGTTAGTTACTATACTCTGCAAATTAATTTTACTTTAGCCAAGAAAAATTATAATGCCTACCTGATAGGTAAATCATGTTTTTCTTTCTGTATTAGTAACATTGTGAATCCATATCTTATCAGTTCAGCTATTACTAAAGGAGTGACTATAATGGGGCCTCTTGCCATCTTCCCCCTGTGCTTGGCATTAGAGGAATGGTATTTAAAAACAATGACGGTAACTCTTGTCCCAACTACACTGCAGGAAGAACAAGATGTGGGCATGTTAGAAACCAGTAGGAACCCACAGTACACTGGAAGGGGGATTTGGGGAGGGTCGGATAATTTTTTCTGAAGAAGGTTGTGTTCCAGGAGGTCTGCACCTTACCTGAGGAAGTAAATGACCAGCAAGACATCCAGAAATAAACCGAACAAGAGATGTGGGAGAAGTATAGTATGCATTCTGTTTTACTGACTTCTCAGTGTTGGCAGAACAGAGTCCCTACAAGTGCTGCCTGAAGTGGGAAATCTATCCTATCATGAGTATGGAAAATCCCCTGCCATGAAATTAATTTGGGGCTTGTCTGGGCATGTCATAAAATCAGAATCCTGAACGAGATGCATAAATCAACCTGGGGGAAGAGTTTATCCATTTAGGGGTGACTCAACTCCAGTTGGACTAAAGGAAATAAAGCAGTCTAAATGTAAAATCTAGGATCAAGGGAATGACTGGAGAACTAATGAACTTCTTCAGATTCAAAGTGTTTAATGGCAGTGGTCTGAAAACTTGACAAGGCGGGTAATCACAGGTAATCAGCAGGAGTAAGAGCGAGTCTAACGGTGTAGTCACAGGGGATCAAGTGCACTGCAGAGGCATAAAACCCAGTGATTTAAAAGCTAATTTTAGCCAGGTGAGAATCGACTCTGTGCAGTAAACAGGAAATCAGATTCTCTCTTGTATTTAAGTCATTCCCAGGTAGAGGAGCCTGGAAACTCAAGGAAAACATTTTGGCCATTAATTGTACATATTCTCTGTTTTAATATGTCCATAACTTTCTATCATACTTGACTCATTTGAAATTTGGATGGTTCCAAACACATTTGCTAAGGGAAAGTCATTTCCCCAAAGGGCACTTGACTCCCATGAAAGTGTATTGCAAATGGAAGTCCTTGAAAATGCTATGCCACGTAGGTAGAACTCACACTTCGCTCCAATGTGGGTTTAATGGAGAACCTAAGGCAGTCAGTGGGCAACATGGATGGAGCAGGACCCCGAAAGACAGGGCCTCGCAAAGGAAAGAAGATGGTATAAGCCGAGCAGAGCAGGAGTAAGGCAGAACCCAGTCCTGGGAAGAACATATAACTAAGCAGGAAAAGGTGTAGGTAAAGAGTTAGCAATAAGGAAGTTGCAGTTCAGTGAAGATACAGGGGTTGGGTTCTTGCACCAGGAACTAATTTTTGGAGTAACAAGAGTACTTTCAAATTATCTGTAAGCTATCTGTAATGTAAGTTGTGTGGTGTGTGTGTGTGTGTGTGTGTGTGTGTGTGTAATGAATAATGGGGACAGGGAGGTGTTAGGAGGGTAAGAACTTTGTCTTGTTATACTGCTGAGGCCCTAGTACCTAACCGTATCTGGAACCTAGTCAGCACTGAAAAAGTATTTGTTGAATGCCGGGAGGGATTGGAAAGATGGATGAGCAGATGGATAGGTGGACAGATAGATGGATGGATGGGGCAATGAGAATCCTAAACTACTGAATGCCACTCTAAGAACATGAGCTGGTGGAAGCTATGTCCTCAACCTAGGAATGTCAGAGACTGCATCTCAAAGAGCTCCTGGAGGAATGCAGGCCTTCCTATTGCTGCAACTTGGGCTTCTCAGTAAAGAGAATGGCAGTGGGAAAAGAGAAGCAGCCCTACATTTATGCAAACATTATCATTTGAAAATTTAAATTTTAGAAATGAATTTAACATAGTATAGAAGAGACATGCTTTAAGAGATATAAAAGGATATCCTCTACCCGGATATTTATCTCTTTTAGCACCCGTGCTTCCAAATGGTGCCAGTTGAGGCCGTAGGTTGGCAATGAGCCGGCAACATTGGACTATGCTATAGTAATTGGCATGATTCATTCATACCAGTGCTTAAACTTTCATAAGTTTGCCTTAAATTTCTAATTAGTGACTTTAATTCTCCATGTCATTCATTCACCTTTGTATGAAGTTGCTCACAGTAATTATGCATATGTAATAAACATTATTCTTCCTAACTCAAATATTTGTGTCATGGCCAGAAATGAGCAAAGTATGAAACTTGAGAATTTGAGGAAGGTTTTCAACTGACACATTTTGCCTCACCCCAACCAAATAGTTGGTCAATTCAGGGAAATTTCCT